GCGCGGTCGGCGGGGCGCCGGAGCGCCCCTGCTGGCGCGCAGTCGTTGCGCGCGAAAGCCAGCGAGGTGCCGGCGCGCCCTCCGCTGCGCGCGCCCGTCAATGAATGCGTTCGCAGGGTTGGCGTTCCTGCGCCGGCGGCCGGCAAGTGGATCGGGCATGTTTTCGGCCCCGCTGGTGGATGCGTGCCGAGGGCCAGCGCGCTCCGAGCGACGCGTCAGATGCCGCGCCGCGCGCCCGCCCGTGGAATCTGCGCTCCGTCAGGGGCCGAGCGTTCGGTAGTCGACATCGAGGTGAGTCGGCCCGCGGTGATTGCTGGCGGCAGGGCGCGCGGGGCCGGCAGTGCTGAGCGAAGCCAGTGCGCCCGCCGCGACGGCTGGCCCAGCCCTTCCTGCCGCCGCTCTCATGGTGGCTCTCTGACTCTCTCGGGTGGCGCGCTTGTTCGGCCCGATCGCGTATGGTCGCCTCCCCTTCCTTCCTGCCTTTCGTGTGTTGCCTGCTGTTTCCTTGGCGCCCGTCCTTTGAGACAGTTTGGCGCTGGTGGCGCCCAGTGCCCGACCTGTTTATCGTAGCCTCTGGGCATCATCGCTGCAGTTCCATCGATTGTCACCTCGCTCATCGCAATCGGTCCGCTGGGGAAATCTCAGCACCATCGTCTTGATCATCGCCACCATCACCATCATCTTCATCATCACCACCCATGATCATCATCACCATCATTCTCGCTATCACCACCACCACCATCATCACCATAACCATCTCCGCCATCACCACCACCATCATCAACATTATCAAATTCGTGGTCACCACAAGCAACAATGCCATCGTCATCACCATTATCATCTCCATCACCATCATCACCAACATTATTCAATTTCTTCCCCTCCTCCGCCTTGTCTTCTCCTGATGATCTTCATCACCGTCCTCTCCCTCTTCGGTTGTGGTGATGATGGTTGTCGTGGGTGGGTTGTGGTGATGATGAGGATGTTGACCATGATGAGTGAGGTTCACGATGATTTTGGCGATGACGGCGATGATGATGATGATGACGATGATGCAGATTATGCTGATGATTATGATGATGACGATGGTTATGCTGTCGTTGATGCTTGTTCTCCTTGTGTTTTTTCCATTTGAACCTCCCTCTTGGGGAGGATAATTCCTGCGCGACGGATTGTTTTTCGACCCCATTTCAAACAACGTCTCCAGCTCGATACCTCTTTGCAATTGATTCAGGATTCCGCTTCCGTTCGGGAGTTCCTTGCGATTTGCCTATGAATCGCATTCTCGCCTGAGATTTCCTTCCAATTTACTTGGGCGTCGCGCTTTCGACACTCAGGAATCGCGCCCTCGCTCTGGACAATCTTATCGTTCAGTTAGATGTCGTGCTTGCCTCAGGCTGCCGTGCAATTAGTGCCGGCCGGACTCGCGCTGTAGTGGCGCGCGTGCCCGCTGTGGAGTCCGCCACCCCATCTCAATGCCCCAACCGCCAGACCCATCCGTTAGCGTCCACCCGCCCTGCCCGCCCGACTCGCCCGGTAGGGTCCGCCATCCGCGCCGCCCATCAGGGTCCGCACATTCTGAGGAGGAGGAGGACGAGGAGGAGCAGGAGGAGGAGGAGGAAGAGCAGGAGGAGGAGGAGGAGGAGGAAGAGGAGCAGGAGGAGGAGCAGGAGGAGGAAGAGGAGGAGGAGGAGCATACTAGTACTCGTACTCATATTATTCGTAGTATTAGTAATGTTAGTAATAGTAGCAGTAGTTGTGCTAGTATGGGTAGTCGTAGTAGTAGTCGTAGTAGTAGTAGTAGTAATAATAATAGTCGTCGCAGTAGTAGTAGTAGTAGTAGTAGTAGTAGTAGTAGTAGTAGTAGTAGTAGTAGTAGTAGTAGTAGTGTAGTAGTAGTAGTAATAGTAGTAGTAGTAGTAGTAGTAGTAGTAGTAGTAGTAGTAGTAGTAGTAGTAGTAGTAGTAGTAGTAGTAGTAGTAGTAGTAGTAGTAGTAGTAGTAGTAGTAGTAATCGTAGTCGTAGTCGTAGTCGTAGTAGTAACAGCAGCAGTAGTAGTAGTAGTAGTAGTAGTAGTAGTAGTAGTAGTAGTAGTAGTAGTAGTAGTAGTAGTAGTAGTAGTAGTAGTAGTAGTAGTAGTAGTAGTAGTAGTCGTAGTAGTAGTAGTAGTAGTAGTAGTAGTAGTAGTAGTAGTAGTAGTAGTAGTAGTAGTCGGTAGTAGTAGTAGTAGTAGTAGTAGTAGTAGTAGTAGTAGTAGTAGTAGTAGTAGTAGTAGTAGTAGTAGTAGTAGTAGTAGTCGTAGTAGTAGTAGTAGTCGTAGTAGTAGTAGTTAGTAGTGTAGTAATAAGTGTAGTAGTAGTATTAGTAGTCGTAGTAGTAGTAGTAGTAGTGTAGTAGTAGTAGTAGTAGTAGTTAGTAGCAGTAGTAGTTAGTAGTAGTAGTAGTAGTAGTAGTAGTAGTAGTAGTAGTAGTAGTAGTAGTAGTAGTAGTAGTAGTAGTAGTAGTAGTAGTAGTAGTAGTAGTAGTAGTAGTAGTAGTAGTAGTAGTAGTAGTAGTAGTAGTAGTAGTAGTAGTAGTAGTAGTCGTAGTAGTAGTAGTAGTAGTAGTAGTAGTAGTAGTAGTAGTAGTAGTAGTAGTAGTAGTAGTAGTAGTAGTAGTAGTAGTAGTAGTAGTAGTAGTAGTAGTAGTAGTAGTAGTAGTAGTAGTAGTAGTAGTAGTAGTAGTAGTAGTGGTAGTAGTAGTAGTAGTAGTAGTAGTAGTAGTAGTAGTAGTACAAGACGGAGGGCCAAAGCAACTACTGCACCCACATGGTCGTGAACCTTTCCAAACCACAGTTGCTGGTACATTGATGATGGGAACCCATGGAACCCTTGAAGATTGTGTAAAAATAATGTGCGCGGCGATGAGGCGAGAGCCACATTTTGAATCGGAACCGCCTTCAATCCGTGCGACAACCACATTTTGAGAAGGAGCCGCTCCCAACCCGTGAAACTCTAGGACATTTTCAAAACGAATGTGCGCCGCGCTAAGGCGAGAGCCACACTTTCAAAACCACCCGCCCTCAATCCGTGAAGCTCTTGCAAATTTTTAAAACGAATGGACGCCGCGCTAAAGCGAGGGCCACATTTTGAAGACCACCCGTCTTCAATCAGTGAAATCCTCAGATTATTTTCAATCGAATGTGTGCCTTGCTAAGACGAGAGTCACATTTTGTAAACGACCCGCCCCCCATCTGTGACGCTGTCGCCAATTTGTAAGCTTCAGGGCCATGAGTGGCGAGGACGTCACAGGCGAAATGCGTGGCCCGCCCTAAACACCGGCCTGAGGGTGCGGCAGGGGGAAGTTATGTATGAGGGAAAGGAATGGAGGAGGAGGAGGCGGAGGAGGAGGAGGAGGAGGAGGAGGAAGAAGAGGAACAGGAGTGGGAGGATGAAGAGGAGGAGGAGGAGGAGGAGGAGAAGGCGGAGGAGGAGGAGGAGGAGGAGGATGAGGAGGAGGAGTTCTGGATATAACGACTAGGTCGAGAACGCTCTACTCAGGAAACCTGGAGGAGGAGGAGGAGGAGGAGGAAGAGGAGGAGGAGGAGGAGGAAGAAGACGAAATGGAGGAGGCGGAGGCGGAGGAGGAGGAGGAGGAGGAGAAAGAGGAGAAGCAAGGCATCTTAATAATCACCTTAACAATAATGATAGTAGTGGCAAGAGTAATTATAATAGCAATACTATTGATACTGGTAACGTGAATAAAAAACATACTTCAAAGAACGTAGTAACACCATCAAGCAACCATATTATTCGTACGAGTAGTAATATGTCTACGAAGAATCATAAGAATAACCAGACTACTAATAGTCATGAAGCTGATCATAACACCCCGACTAGTACTACTAATTGTACGGTTAGCACTAACAATCGTACTTCTAAGAAGAATACGGGTAGCCATAAGATACATACTACTACGACGAATTTTTAGAAACAACAATAGGCATACTGTTCACACTATAAGAATCACATTATGAACAACCATAATAATAGTAAAACGAGTCATAATGCTAATAGTGATGATAAGACGAAGCAGAGTAATACAACTAATAGTACTAATAACAAGCATACCAATGCAACTGATACAACTAATACTATTACTAATACTACTAGTAACAGGAAGAAGACGAACACTACTAATCCAGATGGTAGTACTGAGCATAAGAGGAATACAACCACACATGATAATACGAATACGCATGCGACGAAGAGTAAGGCAAGACGATCAGTACTATAATATTAATGCTATTACGAATAATAATGCTAGTGGGACGAAGAGGACGAGCAACACTCGTACTACTATGATTCAGAAGATGTTTCGGAAGAGCAGTAATACGACGAATGATACGAAGAAGACAACTCATAGCATCAATAGCATACTACTACTACTACTACTACTACTACTACTACTACTACTACTACTACTACTACTACTACTACTACTACTACTACTACTACTACTACTACTACTACTACTACTACTACTACTACTACTACTACTACTACTACTACTACTACTACTACTACTACTACTTCTACTACTACTACTACTACTACTACTACTACTACTACTACTACTACTACTACTACTACTACTACTACTACTACTACTACTACTACTACTACTACTACTACTACTACTACTACTACTACTGCTTGTATTATTACTATACAGACTGATAATAATACGAGTAATAGCCATGATGCTACTCATACTACCAGTAATCATAATGATAGCAATGATATTAATGTTACTGCGAAATGATAATAACAATACTGAGCAGAAGAGGAAGGGGAGGAGGAGGAGGAGAAGGAGGAGGAGGAGGAGAAGGAGGAGGAGGAGGAGGAGGAAAAGGAGGAGGAGGAGGTGGAGGAGGAGGAGGAAAAGGAGGAGGAGGTGGATGGGGAGGAGGTGTTGGTCGATGTTCCCCCCCCTATCGTCTCCCCCGATACCTGCGGCCAGGTCCTCGCCGATGGCCGGGGCGCAGGACGTGCCGGCGCCAGGCGCGGGGTCTTTGCAAGCGCGCGCGCCCCAGGTGTGACGTCCCAGGCGCCGAGAAACAATCAGTGCCAGCCTGCGGCCTCCAGGGCGCCCTGCCGGGCCCTGGGGCCCCGATCTTTCAATTTCCTTCCGGGGCGTCCTGCCGGCTCCTGGGGGGCGCCCTGCCGGGCCTTGGGCCTCCAATGTCCAATCGATGTTTCAATTTTCTTCCTACTCCTCCTCCTCCCCCCCTTCCGCCTCCGCCCCCTCCTCCGCCCCCCCTCCCTCCCTCCGCCTCCTGCTCCTCCTCCTCCCTTTCCCCCTCCTCCTCCTCCTCCTCCTCCTCCTCCTCCTCCTCCTCCTCCTTCCCCTCCTCCCCCTTGACCCCCCCAGGACCCTCGATTTCAATGTTGAGGCAGCCGCGTCCGACGAGGTAACGTCGCATCGCGCGGTGCCTCGCGCGTACATTGAACTTGATGTGAGCGGTCCAGAAAGGGGGTCCACGTAGAAGGGGGTGGTGGCAAAAAGTTGTTTGGCTTTGGAGTGTCCGACGGGCCCGTGCGAAAGTCATTGCGCCATTCCTCCGTTCGTTGCAGCGCGTGCTTGCAAAGGGCCTCGACTGATGCAAAATAGGGCAGACAGCAGGCAGACGTCTTACAACTTGTTCGAAGACCTCGGTGGCTCAACTGCGACAGTAGTCGCATCAGGAGTTGGTGCGCTTGGCATGGAGTGCTTGGCCCAGCGCAGAACGCTTGTTGCAGTCGCAACGCGCGCGGACGACGTACTGGACATGCAACAAGTGTATCGCACGTGTATTGTGTCAGAACATTGTATCGCATTGTATTGCAACAGCCTTGTATAGCACGCAACGCCGAGCAATGCATCCTCGCCCCAGAATGTTTACACTGTAATGTATTGTAGCTGGCGGATTGCATTGCATTGCTGTGCTGGTCGATTGCGGCGTGACCGTCTAGATCCAATATGATCGCCTAGACAGTCTGCGTGCCAGGGGCATGGGGTGCCAAGGAGCATTTTCCGATTCCGATGGCGGAATCGGAAAGCAACTTGCAACGAAATGACTGGCCTTGGCATCTTGAATTCGCACGAAGCTTCAACACCTGGTAGTACAAGTTTTGGGTGCGAACTGTCTGTCGCAGCCACATCATGCGAATGCGTCGTTGCAGCGAATCACAGTCAAACTCCAAAAGCACCACCACCTACCTGGACCTCCTCCTTTTGGGCTGCTCAAACGTGAGGGGCGTGGGGAGACGGACAGCGCGCGAGAATTGCATTACTCTACGGTAGTGTAGGACTGGGATAAATCGCTCCAGAGTGTTCTGCAGCACCCTCGGAGCGTTCCGACGCGCTCTGAAACGGCCGCTGCGCCCGAAACATTCTCGAGCTGCCGTATCTCAGAGATCCCCAAGTTATCCCGAGTCGATGTTGTCCCGACATGAGGAGTTCGTTCCCAGGGGTGGGGTTCAGGCCTCCACGAAGCCACCCTGTATCAACAAACACAGTACGTCGGATGTCCTCGTGCGGGCGCGACCATCTGCCCCTTCCACCCCTCTCGCTGCCCCTCACTCGTCGTCGTCGTCGTCGTCATCGTCGTAGTCGTCGTCGTCGTCGTCGTCGTCGTCGTCCTTCCTCATTCCGCCGCTCGTCTTACTCCCTCCACCCTCCCTCCTGCCCTGTCTCCTCCACCCTCCCTCCACCTCTCCCACCCCTCCCCCTTGTCCTCCTCCCTTTCTCCATGTCCCTCGGCGCCGTCGTCGTCGTCCTCGTCCTCTTCCCGGGTGGGGCTTTGAAGAGGGAGGAGGGTGAACGGAGGGAGGTGGAGGTGGACTTTGCCTCGGACGTCAGGCTGTGCTGCTCGGACGGACGGAGGCCCAAAAGCGGAGGAGGTGAAATCGGACGGTGGACGGGAGGGGAGACAGAGTGAGAGCGGAGGCAAGAGGAGGAGGGATGACCAGGGGAGACCCGATGCATGCCTCTTCGCTCCCCTGCTTCCCCCTTTGCCTTCTCTTGTCCCTCGGGTGCAACTCCTCGGAGGTCAAGCTCGGCATCGGCGCTGGTTTATCCCGCCCGTGGTCGAAGACGGCCCACATCTGGCACAACTCTCGCTAATTCCCGCGGGACTCCGCCTAGTCCGGCTTACAGTGCGGGCGCGGCCGCAAGAAGCCCTCGCAAGAGACCCAATCCTGAGAACCCGTGCGCGAGGTGCACAGGAGGGGAAACCTGGAGTACCCTGGTCGCAGCAGCTCCTTCAATGTGGGAAGTCACCGCGCAGCGCGAGGAGCGACGACACCCAGGATACCCTGACGAAAAGCAGATGGTTTCTTGATGCGCGCCCCCACTGTACCTCCAGGCCTATCTTCTCGTCTTGTCTTGACTGATGGCCCTTTCGTCGGGCTCGACAGCCCTTGCTCGGCACCACCTGCACATGTGTTCATGTTGCAGGTGCGTCGGCCGCGCAAGGGCGACGCGCACGCCCGGACATCTTCCAGCATGAGCTCCACGGCGGGCGCTCTCTGCCGCTCGGGAGACGATACACCACAAGACTTGGTATCAGGTAGAGGGCCACATGCGAACCCTACCCCTCCTCCTCCTCCTCCTCCTCCTCCTCCTCCTCCTCCTCCTCCTCCTCCTCCTCCCACTCCTCATCACTATACTCCTCCTCCTCCTCCTCCTCCTCCTCCTCCTCCTCCTCCTCCTCCTCTTCCTCTTCCTAGGGGGCCACATGCGAACCCTACCCCTGTCCCCCACCATTTCTGCGGGGGAGGGTGGGGCTGACTTCGTTCGGGAGCTCCCGAGCGAAGCGAACCCCTCCCTCCCCCTCGGGAAGCGTGAGGGGTATGTGTGGGGTTCGCATGCGGCCACCTATCAGATGTTCGGGTCGGACGTGCGTCGCCAGCAGCGGCCCAAAGAACTGGTATGTCCTTGTGGGTGCCATTTCACCGCTCCTATGACGACCTCCCATCGGCGGTGAAATCTGGACCCTGCCCTCGCCGATCAACGATTCAGGCAACTCGATGGGCGGCGGGGGTAGGGTCCGGAAGTGGTCGAACACGGCGAACTCCGAACCCTGCGCCCGCCTCCCATCGATTCAGCAGAATCGATGATTGGTGGGGCTAGGGTCTGGATGTCGCCACCAAAAGAAGCAGTTTCTTTTTAAGCCTCCAGCAAGTTTATTTGCATGGATGGGGGTTATTGCGAGGCCAGAAAAGGACAGGAAATCTGGACGTCAAGCAGGTTGGGACTCACTCGCTCGCCTTTTCGGCCAAGCGCTGCTTGAAATATGGCGCGGATGTCGCCACCTATCCCAGCAGTTGCTTCCTACCCTCCTTCTTGACGGTGAGGGGTGAGTGAGACGTGGAGTAGGTGATCGACTACAGAATTGGTCAGCCCCATAATCATGTTTGGTCGAATCTACGAAAAGAGCTCAGAATCCTCGGAGATTCGACAGCCGTTCTGCAGATTTCGTCGTAGAGTCGCCGAAGACCTCAATTTTGGGTACATCAATTTCCGAATCACATTCTTTTGAAAATTTGTTCTGGGATACGCACTTTTTCGTAGAGTCGCATTTTCTAATTAGTTTTGGGGTACATCCATTTTGCAGTCGATCCCCTACTTTCGGATGCAACTCTTGGGAGGTCAAATTCTGATTTTGCCCTAGTCCGAAATCCAGCTTAATCCGGCTTAATCCCGCTTAATCCGGCTCAATTCCGCTTCATCCCGCTTGAGCCGAGGACCACTATAATTCTCTTTGATCTTTCCGACGAAGACCTCCCAGTATCATGGCGCCAACATCACAGAGCGGATTTGGTTCGGAAAACAACGATGGGACCGGAGTGTCCTGGAAAATTTCGCTCTGGATTTCGAGGTGAATTTCGTGCGGATTTTTCCTGGCCAGGATTGAAGACCCCCCACATCCACGCGAAATTCACGTCGTTTTTCGCTCGCCATTCCGAGGTTTTGCATCGACAGAGATCCACGCAAAAATCCGCTGCAGCACGTCTGCAAGGTCGGGGCAGTGACAAAGTGGCTTAATCCTCTTTGATCCTTCCGACGAAGAACTCCCAGTAGTTGCCTCCTAACCTACTCGAAGACGATGACGAAACCAACGGTACATACCCATATCCCCACACCCATGGGGGGGTCGGAGAGGGCAATGGGTGCGTGTTGTCGGATGGGGTCCCCGCTCGAGCGGCAGCGTTCCCCAGGGTCCGACAACCCGCACCCATACCCATAGCCAGTCCTCCTCCCACCAACCCCCTCATTGGTATGGGTGTGTGCTGTTCGTTCGTCAGGACGAGAGCAGCGGGCCGTCGCAGGTGCGCCAGCGATGCCGGGCCCGCCGCCGGCCGCGGGGTCCGCCGCCCCAGCCGCACGGGTTGTGCCGGCGGCTTTGCCCCCCTCCTGCTCCTGCTCCTCCTCCTCCTTCTCGTCCTGCTCCTCCTCCTCCTCTTCCCCCCTATCCCACTCCTCCTTGTCCTCCTCCTCCTCGGATTCTCACCTTCTCGCCCTCCTCATTCTATCGCCCTCTTCCTCCTTCCGTGTTTTCTCCCTGTAGCAGCAGCAACGTTAGCATAATGCTTTCCCTTGAGCCAAAGTGTCGATTAACAGGTACAACATGACACAAATCTAACGTGCTAAACCTATTCGTGGAATATATTGCCCATCTGCTTCACAGATAGGACTTTCCTAGGTTTAGCTCCCTCTACTGCCGGACCCCTGGGCCTGGCAGTCGGCAGCCACACACACCCTGGAGGCTGCCCCCCATACATGGGAGAAACAGGAAAACATACAGAGCTCTGGAACAGATAGCAGAGACTATTGGAATGGATGAGAAACGGAGGAGACGGGAGGAGAGGAAGAGGAGAGGACACCACCACCACCACCACCACCTCGGACGGAGGCCTGGAGGACGTACTCGTTCCAGGATATCATATTCTGGTTGTCAAAGGTCTTTCTGGAGGCAGCCTGGGTACGACTCTTGAGGTCTGGTCGCTCTCTCCGGCGTTCAACCTCAGCACCTTCATCGATCAACACGAGGCGCCCGCTCGTCATAAGATCGAATAACGCCGCATTTCCCTTGGATATATCGTCTTTGGTGAGGGAGTCCACTGGCATCCTTCCATGCGGGATCCACCTCACTCTGTTCTTCGCCTTCTCGAGTGCCTCACATATTATTGCTAGGTCAAGCGCCGTGCGCCTGTCCTTGGCGCTCGCATGACCATCTTTCATCGTAGTATCGTATATCGATTTGACGTCCACTACGTGAACTTGGTGCTCACGGGCTCCTAATCTACAATCTCGACGAAGGATTGTCGTAAACGGACCCGAACAGCGATGATGGTCCCGGACCTCCACATCTTGAAAAACAACGTCCCTATATATATGTATAGAATCTGTAGGAATTCCACCTCTGCAACAGCAGCTGACAGTGCCAGGGTTTCGCCTGCCAGGGCGGAAGGTACTTTGCGACGCAATTTCGAACTGCGCCAGCCCAGGATGGACGCTTTAACTGAGGCATTCTCCAGCAGGCTCTGGTCGGTCGCCAGCACCATCCACGCACCTTGCGTGGGGTCGACAGGAAGGCCTCTCTCGTCGGTGAGGCCATCGAACGCTCCCACTCCACCAGCGTCTGAAGAGGATGCAAAGGCCATGTGCTCCGGGTTCAGCTTCCAAATGATGAGGCCTCTCGAGGCCGAAGACCTCAAATGTCTAACTAGCTTATTTGCGAGGGAGATATCGCCCGTGGTCGGGTTCTTCAAACGGCTGGCCAGGATGTATGCTACACCTGCTGCTTCTGGTCGGCATTCGCGGCCGACCCAGTTGAACTTGTATATCAGTGATCTCAGGGCCTTAAACTCATGATGGTCCAGCGGCTCGTCCTTGCGGGCCATTCTACCACAGGCAACCGTCAACGGCTTGATTTCTTCAAGGATATATTTTCCATGTCAATAGTTGCTCTTTGCCTGCCGATCGTCACTCTTCGTCCTGCGAAATCCACTGGACCGGCCTGGCAGTCACGGTATTTTCCGAAACGAAAGCGTGATTCTAGCAGCGTTCTGAGCCAGGATCTGGTTTCTGGCGACGAGGAACCGATGAAGAAATCATCGACCTCCAACAGGATCATGTTCAAAATCTGCCCGTCAGATCCATATCTCAAATACCAGCAGGGCTCCAGCAATGACCGTTTAAACCCGTTCTGCTCTAGGAACCTAACTACCGTTCGGCGCCAGGCAACTGGCGCATCGTCGAGGCCGTACACGTTTACCCGCAGCAAGATGAGGGAACCTTCGGGAAGGTCGATCCCCTCGCACGGCTCGACATAGATGAGCCCTTGGGATCTCGTCATGGGGTCGCTCTGGCAGAACGCATTCTTTACGTCGGCTATGTCCGCAAGGAGGCCGACGTTCATCAGCACTTGCAGGAACATCATAATGCTCGAGGTCTGTGGCGTAGGCGCATAGACCTGCAGCGATCCTGAATCAGGGTCCCGATGTCCATGCACACACCCCCGGGATTTTGCTTCAGGTTCCTGGAAGGTTCCCTCCACCCGCTTCCACCGCCGCACCATACGGCTCGTGATAATGCTGTTTTGCTGAGTCTTCCTCACGATTCGAGCCCGATCCGGAGGGATCACCTCGGTGGCTCCGGTGTCCATCATGGCCTGCCACTCTTTGGCATCTGACACCGCGAACTTCGCCCTCTCGTCGGGGGAGAGGCTCTCGAGTGGAACCTCGCCGCCTCTACTCGCCGCGAAGGACCCGTCTCCGAGGCCCTCGACTCCACTCCAATCCTGAGGGTGACAACACAACGGCCTGGCCTGGAGCCCGGAATCACCGACCACACCACCACCAACCGGGGAAAGAAAGAAATCCTCCGAGCCTCCCTCCTCTATCCTCGTCCCTGGCGGGGAGCGACTCCGCGGGCGCTCGCCCCGCTCCAGGCTCTGGACGATGTCGCCCACTGATCGCCTGGGCTCCCGCCGAGTCGTGATAGGTCCTCGACCGGACTCACCGCCCTCGGCGCTGGGGCGTGGGTCCGAGGGAGAAACTCCTGGGGGAGCAGAGCTGGCCAAAGCCGGGGGGGAGGAGAGAGAAGGCGGAGAGGAGGAGGAGGGACCCCCGGGAGGAGCGAAGGGGGCTCGTCCACTCGCAGCCTCTTAACTTCTGGAGGGCTGCTGGCTGCTCGGAGAGGGGCTCCCGCCTCGTCTCGAGCCCTCCTGATGCACGCCGGAACGTCACTTGGCTGTGCCACTCGGCGTCGCTGAAGGGATGGGACGACCGAGGAAACAGGAGCGGAAACACCAGCCGGAGGGGACGGAAGAGAGGAAGAGGCAGGGAGAGGAGGAAGAGGTGAGGATTCGGAAACCTCGGGCCTCGACACGTCGGGGACCCCCAGCTCTTCACCAGACGCGACTCTGGACCTGCCGGGCGCAGATCCTCCTCCTCCTCCTCCTCCTCCTCCTGCCTTGAGGCTCACTGCCTTCTGCTTGGGCCGACGGGGTAGCCTCGCCCTCTCGGGCCCCGCCGGAGCAGCCACGGACCCGGCATATCGGACTCTCTGGCCTCGGGTCCGGACACCCTGGGACGGGACAGAGGAGGCGAGGAGAACGGAGGAGGAGGAGGAGGAGGAGGAGGAGGCGCCAGGCGGGCGGCCGAGCTCCGGGCGGCTGCGGCGGCCTAGCCGGGCGGGAGCTGGACCAGCCGACCGGGAGAAGTACTTTGTCGCCGCGCTCCCCGTGGAGTTCAGGGAGAGTGTGGGCGCGGGACAGACTGTGTCCGCCGCAGGAGGAGGAGGACCCAGGACCGAGGGAGGAGGGCCGGAAAGGGGAGCCTCGGGTTCGAGGCCCGCCACTGGTCCACCAGGGACCTGAGGGGCCGAATCAGGCTCCACGCGGGTCGCCTCATCCCAGGCCTCGTCTGGGGGAGGCCCCTCGCGTTGCACGCCAGCAGCAGTGGCCCTTCTGGTAGGGGCCTGGGTCAGCAACTCCTGCCACTGCGGACCCTGAGCGAGCTGGATGCCGTACTCCTCCTCAGGGGAGGCAAGGCGAATCTGTTCAATCGAGCATTTCCAAAGGCGGGCGCGCACGGCAACCCACACGGTGCCGCCCTCACACGGCGCCACGACACCAGGTCCGCACCATCCGTCACGACGTCGGCCCAGGCTGTCGGCACGAGACGACATGCGGCTCATGTGCCGCCACACGAACACCTACTGTCCCGGAGTAAACCCCTTCAACATGGGCGTCCTGGCCTTCGAGGCCCGGCTGATTTTCTCACGATAGGTACCCTCTATCGCCAGCCTTCTGGCGGCCGTTCGAACGTTCTGAGCCCTGGCAAACTCGGCGCCTGCCGAGTCGAGTTCTGACGGGGGGAGAGTCATGTCCTGCCACCCTGGCACGGCCTTAGCATCGCCTGACAAGAGATCATGGGGGAGGCGTGGATTTTCTCCGAACACCAGTTGGAGAGGCGAGAATCCGCCCCTGTGTCAGAACCTATTTTTATGAGCCGTAAGCTCATGTACGAGGTCGTCCAGCTCCTCGAGGCTGCTGGGCACAGCTGATCCTGCTTCAATTTCGGACCGAACACGCTCTTTAATCCAACCCCCGTGGCGCTCCACACGTCCGTTTTGCCACGGGGAGTCGGCATCACACATGTGATGCATCACTCCCCATTGTTCGAGACCGCGGGCAAAACGCTCATGAAACTCCGAACCCCCATCACTCAGGAGGAAGTGGGGGGCTCCAACAGGCCTAATCCACGATGAGACGAACGCGCTCCACACTGTGGCGGCTCGAGCGTTGGCCAGCCGCACACACACTTGCAAGTTCGAGCCGTGATCGACCACGTTGAGGAATGGTTGCGTGATTCCAAGGAACTCAATATAAAACAGATCCACACCCACGATGTGGTTAAATCGAAACGTGCGTGGGAGGGCAACCTTGCGATGGGCACCCGTGCGTTGACGTTCGGCACACTCGGAGCACTTGAATCTGTCACGTGCCCATCGGACCAGGTGTCTCTTGACCCCCCCCGCTCGCAACACTCGGCAGAATTTCCTAGACTCGGGATGCCCCATATTCACGTGAAGCTTGTACAGCAGCCTTTTTTCTTCTTCGGAGGCCTCCACATCTGGCTGCTGTGGTCCCTTCTTGGGCCCGGCTCCTCGGGTCTCTGGTTCGTCGCCTCTGTCCTCGGACAGCCGGTCTTCCTCTTCCGCTTCAGCTTCCGCCTCGGGGACCCCGCCTTCCGCCGCTTCCTCCGGGAACGCAGACTCCGTGAGCTCGGCCCACGCGGCCTTCTTACCTTGATCCGCCCCGCTCCATTGTTCTGTCACCGCGCGAGCAACGAACTTCACGAACTTGAGGGGATGTCGAGC